GAGTTGTTCGACATACTTGGCACGGAATTGCACTTTTCTACTAGTTTCCACCCACAGACGGATAGACAAACAGAACAGGTCAATGCCTTACTAGAATGCTACTTGAGGCATTATGTAAGCGCGCACCAGAAAGATTGGGCAAGGCTCATAAACATCGCCCAATTCTCTTATAACTTGCNTCCACGGGGCGGACACCATTTGAGCTAGCCACATGCCAACAACCACAAACTCCACATTCATTACCAGTCGCGTCCGAGGGAAAGAATTTGGGGGCTTATCATATGGCCAAAGGAAGGGAGGAGCAGCTCGACACTGCTAAGTCCTACTTGGATAAGGCAGCTAAGAAAATGAAGAAGTTTGCTGACCGTAAGCGGCGTCCCACAGACTATAGAGTTGGGGACATGGTCATGGTGAAGTTTAACCTAAGACAGTTCAAGGCACTACGGGGCATGCATCAGAATCTGATTCGCAAGTATGAGGGGCCATTTAAGATCGTCGCCAAGGTAGGCAAGATCTCATACAAGCTTGACATGCCATCGTATCTTAAGATCTACCCTGTCTTCCATGCCAGCATGCTTAAGCCATATCACGAAGATAAGGATGATCCGAGTAGGGGCCAATCAAGTCGGACGCCAATGACTATCACCGCCTCACATGATCGGGAGATTGAGGCTATCATAGATTACCAGGTCAGGCAAAAACAAGGGCAAAAAGCCACCGTTATGTTCCTCGTCCATTGGAAAGGGCAATCACCGGAGGAGGCCACGTGGGAACGATATGAAGACTTGTGGCAATTCAAAGATAAGATCCGAGAGTTTATGCAACAGCATTGCGCTGCAGTCATCGCAATATTGGGTGGGGGAGAGTGATGACCCGCCATGTCATCATGCCACATATGCGCCATTTGGCATATATTAATGCCATGTGGAAGCTTACATAAGAAGAAGGCTAGCATTTGTGAGAAGGTTCTAAAGAGGTATGGACATTTCCCTAGGAAGAACCTAGATCCTTATGGATTTGCTAGGAAAGTCCTTGGAATCTTCTAGGCTTGTAGAGAATTCTAGAAAAAACCCTTATCTTGTAAATATCAAGGACTTGTGTAGTAATTAATATTTATACACTAGCCTCTAAGAGACTAGTATATAAAGGGAGTCATTCATTTGTAATTCACCAAGAAAACAATTCAAGTTCTCTCTAGTACAAAACTTCCTTTAACAATTCTCTTGTGTTCTTTCTTCCATTCTCTTAGCGATCTTGAGTGTAGTAAGACTGACTTGACATAGCAAGAACGTGAACAAGTTGTGCAAGATCGTGAGCGAGTTGTCAAGTGTCGCACGTGTACTTAGTTAACAACTAAGGACGTGACATTAATCTGTTATCAATATGAAGCAAAAAGTAATAAGTGAATCCAGAGTTGTATTACAGAATCCTAGACAAACTAAAAGGAAACCATATAATTCTAACTAGTGAACTGAAAACATATATTGAATCCAACTAATTCATAATGAGACTATGCTAGTTTCACCTATATCTTTTTCTAGCTGAACTTTCACAAGCTCAGATAAGGGATGTCATACTATTCTTCCAGCCAAAAGATCTCCTGCTCTTCCGCGGAGGTGTAATGGTAAGCCCAAACATCTCCTTGAGAGCCGGCCCCTGATCAGAGAACCCAATTAGCTTTGCAACAACCGCAGCACTCTCTATCACACGATTCAAATCTGTGTCACTCCACAGATGATGAACCAGTTGGTGTCTCCTCCTCTTGGAATTCAAGTTTATGCCCCATTTCTGGTATATTTCGTTTCTTTCAGTTCCCGGAATTCTTTTATATATCAGCCTACTAAGCATATCTCTTTCGCGTCTAAGAGCTTTAAGGCTGTTAAAATCAACAATAATAATCGAATCATATTAGCAGATGATGCAGAGATGGTAGTTACAAGATTGACATGTTCAGTCTATATGGTTCTAAAACATTACAGTGGCATCATCTTTTTTCCAAACATATAAGTTACAAACGTGGCATTAATACAGAAGACTATTGTGTAAACTGTACACACACGCATGCACACACACACCAAAAATTGGGAGGGAGTTAGGGGTATAAGAGCGGCAAGGTACAGATTATACCTTGATGCAAGCGTGATTGTCTGACCTCCTTGCACAGCAGAATTTCCGCTCGAAAGTATTTCCTTGAGGAAGGAAAGTCTTCTTACTTCTACCTCCATGTAGATAGAATCCATCGGGTCACCTTTAAACAGCAGAAAGAAGTATGTCCTATGGATCAATGAAATATGGCAAGTTTGCCATAGTTCAATGATCATTTTCTGTAGCCTTCCAAATTCAAGAGGCCAATCTGAAGGAGCCTCTGATGAGTCCAGCATTGGGTCCACTCCTACACTTTTGACACTCCTTTTTGACTTTCCAGCCTCTTGAGCCTAACATAGATATTAATACATGTAATGAGGATAAAGTTTGGGATAAGTAACAGTTTTTCCAAGTCATGTAAGCAAGTACATTCCCTGGAGAATAAACATGAGAAAAATGCATAATATACATCAAGTACGTCAAGTTATAAATTTAATGCCTACCAAACAAAAAATTCCAAAACTGCTTAAACTAGAATTACACGAAAATCTAAGTTTTGTTTCTCTATATGCATACATAATTCAATCTGAATAGTTATTTTTGCATTGGCTAGCAGTTACCCCATAATAAAAGAAAGCAAGCACAGATCAAAGAGCAGGAACTGATCATGCAAGCAATATCTATCATCAAATTGACCAAAGTAAAATGATGCACTGAAACCAAATACTGTGATATCTACCAGTAATTCCATACATATAATAAACACAAGAAAAGAGCAAGCAACTCTGAAAGAACATATGGCTGGAACCAAGATAGTTCAGACCTGATCATGAAGCTGATTATCATATTCAAGCTTTGCCATCTCCTTCAAACCTGCCACAAAATTGTCAACACTTGGGATATCCTCATCTCCAGGAGCATTACTCCCATCTATAAAAGCACTACCAATTGAAGACTGTGAATTGTTTCTGGATAATTTAGGTCTATTTGCTCCATAAATCAATAGAGGAAGTTTCCAGTGCTTCCGCTGGAAACTTTCAGGTCTTCCAGGAAAATCCTTCTCTAGCACATTAGGCGGGGTGGTCTCGCTATCTTCAACTGTCTCAAAATCGGGTGGAAGTGATCCCACCATAAAATTAGCTCTACAGCTCCTGCTTCTTGTTAATTTCTGGCTTCTTGAACCGGATATACTTGTCGAAAGGGCAGGTGAAGATGAATCATCAGGGAAAGGTCTGACAAGAGAACTGATTGTATTCTGGATATCTTGCATTTTCTGCTCCCAGGCTGCATGAAGAGAACGATCGCTGGTGCTATTTGTTTGTTCAAGTAACATTGGTGATGACTGCCGGATGTCAGAATGTCTGATACTGGAAGCAGGAGGCATTGACATTCTTTCTCCATACGCTGTGTTTGACAAGCTGATGGATTCAAAATTTCTATTTTCACTAGATTCATCCATCTCAATACATCGCACTTCCTTGCAAAGGTCATCAGAATCTTCTCCTGTCACATTTGCAGATTCTTTGCCCCTCTGATGTTGATCAGCAGCAGGCACAGCACAGGATGTAGCATCACTTTCATTGTCCCTGATGTAGGACTCCTCTATGGCTGATGAGCAAGACACAGAGCTTTCACCTTCGTACATGTTACCTTCCACCGATTTAGAAGGTAGACTCGACACGCCCTGAAAATTTGCAAAAAATAAGCAACAGATAAAGGAACATCTCTAATGGGTAGTTCAATCATGTAACTTAATACAAACCTTCTGGCTGGAGGTTTTATCACTTTTAATCGTCCTCAGCAGATCCTCAACTCGCGATTGAGCAAGATCACGTTGCTTAGTTAGTTCCCTCACTTCTTTCTCTAACTGCAGATTTTAACCAGATAAAATATGTGAACATTCTACAAAGTGTGGTCACATCTAATTGAACTCCACTTCAATAACAATTTTTCAGATTGAAAGAATTTGGCAATAAAAACACTTCAATAAACACTCGGGAACTTTTGCTGTAACAAGAAACAAAGATGCTTTGATTCCGATTACATGGAAGATAACTGAATGAAGAATAAGTGAAATCAGCCGTTAGATGAAAGCCTTGGCATGAGTGGGGACTTTTGCTGTAACATGAAAGCAAGGATGCTTTGATTCCAATCACATGCAAAATTACTGAGTGAAGAATAACTGAAATCAGCAGTTAGATGAAAGTCTTGGTATGAACAGGAAGTAGATTAACTATTGGTCTGCCAGATTCAATTCAAAGGCTAGAGGTGACCAATCCAAAATCTGCTAGCTGAAATTTTCAGAACACAACCATAAGCACAAGAGCAACAATAGGAAAGAACATTCACCTTTTCAATCTGCTGGTCTTTCTTTCTCAGCAATGACACATGATCACAAGTAGTTGTAG